TGCTATGATTTCTGACAGGAAGTTCACTCTCCTGTGAAGTGACCCTGTTCCCCTCACACACACACACACACACACACACACACCACGCGTTACTCTGCGCTGCGCAAAACTCTGCATTTGAACAGTCAATAGCAAATACTTAAACTGATAACAAAACATACTTACAGTCGCTGATTCAGAAGAGCCAGATTGTCATAGCAAAGTAGGGATTGACCCTTTTTTTTTTTTTTTTTAGAAATAGCCTTTTGTGCAGCCAGCTTTGTACTCTTCTAGGTTCAAAAAACTGTCGTCCATAAAATGCGTTGCACTAATTCGAACATCTGGGTTGTGCTGTTCTGTTGTAAATAAATCTTAACCAATGATTCCTAATTGCATCTACTTCCGGAAGGCCAAATAAAGTGCTTTTGCACTTTTGCATCAACACTACTGCTGTTCCTGAAACCACGCTTTCTTTCTTTGCGTGCACATTTGGGCGGTGTTATGCAAATCTTCCCACATTGTGACGTAGGTATGTGGGGGCGTGTTAGAACGAACTTTTATAAAGAATATCTCTTTGGATTTGAGACTTTAGTCTTTGCAACTTTACAGATCTTCTTTATGCACCAAGAGCTTGTAACACTCCAAAGAGAAAGGAAAAATTGAAATCGCATCATATGACCCCTTTAAAATAAAGGTTATTGCAATAATATTTCCTGACACTTCTTCTGAGCTATGTACTTCGAAATCAAGAGGGAAGGGAAAATTTCTCTCTTTTTTACATAACTGCTTAGCAATGTGACTACATGTAGTAACAAAAGGGAAATATTGCCAGCAGATATTAATATAGGATATTACTTTGACCTGAAGACAAGTAACTTTCTTTTCAAGTGAATGAAGGACATTTTTCTTGTCCCTTACAAAAGACTTCCAATAGTTTAGATAAAAGAACTTCATTCTTGCTAGAATTCCTTGTTCACAAAGTTATATCTGGAGATTGCACCTGGTGCTTCTCTTGGGCATGTTAAAACACATCTTCTGCATATTTATGTACATTATAACATTGAGCTGAACCTTTAACACTCTTAAGTGATAAGCTCATAGGCCTATGATTCTTTGGCCTTGTGATTATCTAAAAATATAAAGAAGAAAATAAAGAGAGGAGCTGTTTGCATACAGGATGTTATAAGGATGTTATCAGCCAGATTTTCATACTTAAATCTTAAAGGCTCCGTTTAGATTAGTAGAGCCTTACCATTCTGCAAAAACTTCAGTCGTTCATAGAGATCATCACGGTTGAGAGAAATCAGTCCCATCACAACATCACTGTGACCTGGAATTACATGGATAATTTTAAATTTGATCAACAAACTTTCAGTTATATAAAAGGCTAACCTGATTTTATTATTTGTTTTTACCATTCATGTATTTTGTTGCAGAGTACATGCAGATGTCTGCTCCAAGTGCAAGGGGGCGCTGTTCCAGGAATAAGAAAAATTGTGAAATATTTAAATCTATCCCTGCACTGGAATTTTATGATACACCTCATCTGTACTTAATGTGCTTTTAACTTTGTTAGCTAAATTTTTAATTAGTAGCATAGTGTGAAACATTAGGGCTTTGCGCTATGGACATGGTAATGTTACTTTTTGTTCTCACATTATATTTATACATCAAATACCAGCAGCACTGGGTTATGTATTAAAATAATGTCAATACCTGAAAGTAGGCTGACATGAAAGTGTTGTCCACAACAACAATTATGTCCTTGTTGTACTCATGGACAATATCTGCACAGCCCTGGATGTCCACAACCTTCATTGTAGGGTTTGTGGGCGTTTCAATCCATACCATCTGTAGAAATTAGAACATTTAGTATGCCATTTTAGTTAGGGTGGTACTTCTCAAAGCTAATTACTCATCCATCCACTTTCCCACAGTAATTTTTCAAATGCTTTCTGCCAGATGTACCTTTGTATTTGGTTTTAGAGCTGCTTTTATCTCCACTATCTTTGAGAGGTCAGCAAAAGAGACATCAAAGCCAACTTCTGCAGCTATTTTTCTGAAATACCGGTTAGTTCCTGGTGGGAAAAACATGAAAGACATAGTAAGACTATCAGCTAAATATCAGCTGTTCACTCTCTTTTCGCTTAAGCCCAATTATCATTTTATTTATTTTTTAGAAGCAGTAACTCACCCCCATAAACATCATTCATGCACAAAATTCCATCTCCAGCCTTAAAAAGATGTGTGATGGTCAAAGTTGCAGCCAATCCAGAGGCAAGAGCCATACCTATTAGCAGACAGAGCTTTAGGTTTATGGCAATGTCATATAACATATAATACAAATGTGTTGGTGATGTACTCACAGTATTGTGCACCATCCAAAGCAGCAACTGCTCTCTCAAGACAGTTTCTTGTGGGATTTCCACTCCTGCTGTACTCAAAACCCTGGCAGATAAAATATTAGAAAAAATTGGAAATTCAAAATGCTTTACATAAACTAGAATTGTGCAAATAAAATGTCAAATCTGTGAATGAGCAATAAGGGGGAAAAAAACACACTTCAAGATGTAAATTCACAGAAAACTCTAAGGCTAAGTTCACACTAGACTACATGACTTTAAACGTCAGCAGATCGCTGTGCTGTTCAGACTACATGACTTGATTGTCTGTCTTTAAGTCATTGTGGTGTTCACACTACGTGAATATGTAAATGATCCGCAACCGGGGGTTACACACTACACGAGCTGACAACAACTCTGTCACCCAACGACTCTACAAACCGTTTTGTCACGAAAACACACGCGAGAATTGGAACGGGAATGACGCGAAACAACACATGAAACAGGAGTTGTTTATTTGAAAATGGATGTCGGTAAGAAATTAGAGATGCAAGCTGTTGGCTCGATGAAAAATTTTTCTCCATTTATTGGGTCCAAACTTTTCTTTAAGCCATGTTGCTGCTGTTGTTTTTCTTCAGGTGACCTCAACAACCCATGCCTTGCTCTCTCATTGGCTGTAGCTCGTCACAGCACCTGACACCACGTGATGTCGAGTCGGCCAACCATTCCAGATATTTGGCATGCTATATATTTGTTTGCTGTTGTTGAGGTGTCGGCGACGCGACAGAGAGCCTCTTTGATGCGTCTTTGCCGAGCGCCGATCACCCGCTGATTTTCCCCCGGTCACAGCCCGACCTGTCAGCGAGCTCGTTAACTTACAAATCGGGCTTAAAATCCTGTAGTGTGAACTAGGCATAAGTTAAAAACATACTGTTGATTTGTGATGTAACTCCTTTACAAAGAGACACAGATAACATACGAGCACATGCTTTTACTTCAACCACCTAGCTGTTCTCATGACTCATGTTGTTAATAAATATTCAGTCAACTTGCAGCTTCTTTGCTGATGTAATCACTCTTCTGGAAAGGTATCCTATTCTTATCCTTTGACTGGTTCCAGAGGGATTTTGGGTTAAGAGACCACTTTAAATCAGCTAAGACCAGCTTAAAATAGCCAAAAACAGTTAAAGAATTAGTTCACTTCCAGAATGAAAATCACTTACTCACCCTGCACTTGTTCCAAACCTGTATGAGTTTCTTTCTTCTGTTGAACACAAAAGAAGATATTTTGAAAAATGTTGGTATCCGAACAGTTGATAGGCACCATTGACTTCCATAGTAGGAAATAAAAACTATGGAAGTCAATGGAGCCCATCAACTGTTCGGATACCAACATTTTTCAAAATATCTTCTTTTGTGTTCAACAGAAGAAAGAAACTCATACAGGTTTGGAACAAGTGCAAGGTGAGTAAATGATGACAGAATTTTCATTCTGGAAGTGAACTAATCCTTTAAATTACCTTACAATTCTTTCAACAGGGCAATTGAGCGCAATAATTAAGTAGGCTACTTGACGGTTGACCTCAACCTGTGGTGTTGTCTTAAATGTCAAGTAAATTTAGTTCAATCGCCGAATTACATAAATAGGCCTGGCTTGAGATTGGAATCTTCCAACAAAGTCGACAGGTTCTACATAAAAACACTTAAGCCAGCCTAAATGGTTTGAGGGTCAGTCTGGACAGGCTGAAAAGTTCCCAAAGGCCCTCTAAAACCAACCAGCAAACTATCTTGGTAGACTATTTAAAACCAGTAAGCTAGTTTAGGCAGGTTTTTCAGCAGGATATGAGATGCTTTGTGCTTAGTCACCGTGCCATGCACCTATAACGTTACAGATTTAACTCAAAGTCTTTCATGTAGTTACGATTGGTTTATTAATTGATATTTATTCATTCATAATAATAAAAAAAACTTCTTTCACACTAAAAATCCTGCTACTGTTAATTTCACGTCAAATCCATTTAAAATCCATGAGAAGTGCTCCAGAAACAGTCGCGAGCTCTATTGTCACTCGATCAGTACACGCTCGCTAAGCGCGGTAAAGTTAGTTTTAGGTTCGATATTCGCCAGACATTCGCTTTCGCGTGCCACTGTTCTATAGAGTCGACAGTCCTACAAAGATACCACTACCACCATTAGTTTTAACAATATGCAACAACTTTATATCGACATGAAAATATTATTTTAAAAACCGCCTAAGTGTATTGTAGCAGCAAATTTAAACCGGAGAAAGC